TGGCCACAGCCTGAAATTGGGACTATTACACTTAGCAGACCCAGATGGGAGCTCACTGTATTTTTCTCTGTCCTCCGATGACAGACATCATGATATAGCTTACATGGGCTGTTCAGGTGTATTAAATGTACAGAGAAACCACGGCTGCGAGGCAAGACTTGCAGAGCTCAGCCCACAGCTAGGGACCCAGTGCAGGACCCAGTAAGTCTTTCACCAAATCATAATTCTTAAAATGCCCCATGTCAGTTTGTAATTTGAAAAAGGAAGTAATGGGTACACAGGTCTTTTCTTTTTTCATTTTCTTTTCCTTTTTTTTTTTTTTAAACATCTCCATCCTGAGATTTTCAAAAGGGTCAGGGAACTCCTCTGAAATCAAGTCCTCAGCAACATAAAGTGAGCACCAACAGAGCATTTTTATTTTAATCTCAGCCCAGCATCCTCCCGAAGGTACAGGGAGTATCTTCAAGGTGCAGTTTCAACTCCTTTAGTCCTTTGCCTGCCTTCTCCTTCCATATCAGCAAAGAACGAAAAGGAAACAGGAAAAGAAAGTAGCAGATTGCAATGTCACATTGCCATCTCATTTTAAAAAGGAGTGATGCAAAGCCATTAAAGTAAATCAGTCCACTTACTGCGTTATTTTAAAATACTTCTGCAGGCCGTGATTAAAAAATATATATATTTTACTGCTGCAGTGTTGCAAATTCTTACAAAATTATCAATAGCCTCATTTTTGAAAATGTAAGTCAAGCTCCAGAATCAGGCAGTCACATGAAAACTCGAGCTCCACTTTAAAACAGAGGTATATGCCCCTTTGGCCTCACAGCTGTCACCAAAAAAGAAAGGCAAAATAAAATACAGCCAGTGAGGCTCAAGGGACTTTAAAAAAAAAAAAAGGAGAAATTGAAAAAAAAAAATCCACTTTCTTTTTCTTTTTGGAATCTTGTAAAATTAAGCAATTCCATTTCAGGGGTGCCTGGAACGTGATTTTTAAGTATTTATGACTGACGGTTTCAGCAAGTTCCTGCAGCATCTTCTTTCTAGTAAAAATAAATATTATGGGAAAAATGAGTATTCTGGGGAACATTTGCCTGCTGCCTTCAGCACCAGTGAGCAACCAGAGCACAATCCTTGCAACTCTGCATGCATCAGAGGAACTTTAGTCACATAATCTGCTGCACAGAGATATTTCTCTTAATTAAAAGATAATATTTGAGTCCAAACTCTGATTTTTTCTATAGTTAAGACTGAGTTTCTCTCACCAATCTCAATACAAGTTTTACTTTTTTCTTGAGGTTATCAATAATTACTGAGAAGTTCAAGTCCATGGATTTAATAGGATGCTAAATGCAAACAAAAGAAACGTTTATTTTCAGTAAGAACACAGTGAAGTGGTGGAAATCCTAAATTCAACTGCATTCTTCTAACACAGGTAAAAAAACCAAACACAAAGCAAATGAAAATAAGGAAAAAAAGCTAACAAAAAGAACATTTCCTTCCTCAAAACAGTAAAAGAATTATGCTATGTGAACTACAGAAAGCAGCAAAAATACTTCTTTAAAAAAAACCCCAACCAACCAAACAACAAAACCACAAGATTTTGCACTGGAATAATGTCTTAGTGAAACTGAGAGGAATTTAAAGAAGAGAAATAAGTAGGCAATTTTTATCTCAAGCAAATACTATATGCTGATTCACTGCCTCTCAAACCTTTCTGGCTGTAGCTATATTTTCCAAAGTGGTTATTCTCTGTGGCGTAGAAATGCAGCAAGCCCATGGCTAGCAGAAACCAAAATCCTGACATTTTCTACCCTGCTGTGACCCTGCCAGTTAAAGGCCACATCCCAGCCTGTGAATAAAGCACAACACTCATTTCTGCTCTGAAAGCCCACTCCGCTCCCTCTGCAACACGGGGAGCCGTGACAGCCCCGCACCTGCCCAGGCAGAGCCCTCCCTCCACACAGGCTCCTGAGCAAAACATTTCCCCCCCCCATACCAAACCCTGTCGACATTCCACTTTTTTCTTGCCCACAGACCAGTTTCTGCCCAAACACCAGAGATGAAGGCACCAGGTAAGGCACAGCTCCTTCAAAAGCTTCGGGACCTCTGCCCAGCCCCTTGCTCTGCCACACCAAGTGCCCAAAACCCCTTGCCTAAGAGCCATTTTGATTCTGCAAGACTACCACAGGCCCAAACACGGATTATACGACACACTGAAAAAGGACAAAACCACGGGAACAGCCCTATTCTGCACGTATCCTTTATGCTCCTCGGCCATTAAGCCTCTCCAGCTTCCCCAGCCTCTTTCCAGCCGGCAGGACCGCCAGTGACTTTTCCCCTCTCCGAGTTTCCCGACTGTCCCAGGTCAGGCTGCTTTGCCCAGCACACACAGGACGAATCCCCAACGAGCAGGCTGGGTGTCCCTCAAAAGGAACTTCACATATCACCCATTCAACCATTTCAAAGTCGAGCTTTGGCAATTTCAAAGCTGCCACTATTGAACAAGTTGCCAAAACAAAATCATTCAGCTAAACTCTTTTTTTTTTTTCCCCCAGCCCTTTTTATTAAAGATTCTTTTCACACAAACATTTGAAATGGAGAAACATTACCAAAGTGTCAGCTAAAAGAAACCTACGCAGCACACAGCCTTCTTTACTAAGAATAAAAATTAGCATCTTAATATTAAAATGCATCTGTGCCTCCTTAGACAACTGCCTCCCCCGGTTTCTGCAGAGGGTTTTTCCAGGGCTGGTACAGAACAGATGTCTCTAAAGCCATCCTAAACCGTCTCCTATGAAGTCTGCAGGGCAGGTCGTTGCTTTGCCATTCTCACTCACCAGCATAATCTCTTACACAAGCATTTTTACGGCCTGCAGTTTTGTTCAGGTGAGCAGGCACTTGCAAGACACAGATTATATTTTTAACCCATGCAAACAGCATAGCAAGATTAACCAAATGTCTTCGTTCAGGGGGAGTACAGATTAGTCAGTACAATACAAATTATTTCCTTCTGCACACTCCACAATAAAATTAGATTTCTGCAAAGAATTTAAGGCTTTCTCTAGAGTTTTACCTCTCCAAAACAAAACTGCATCTCTGCAGAGATTTGTCATATAGTTTGATCACCCTAACAGCATAAACAACAGGGATGGTTTATCAGTCGTGAAAGTTAGGCTCAGCTAACAGAGCTGCTGTTGGTGTGTGGTGTTTTTAACCTGGGATCTTTATATTAAAAAAAAAAAAAAAAAAAAGGTGAACACACAATACTCTACCCTATCCACTGGTTTGGAGCTTTACACCCAACAGAGTTACTACAGAAACTTAATTCCTGTTGCCGTAGTGTCGAGACCCTTGAACACAACCTGACCAAATGCCTTCAGAATTCTGCCTTTGCACTGTGTACAACCACTAGCTGTTAATGGCACGCACAAAGCTTGAAAAAAAAAATTATTTTCATAGGATTACACCAGACAGAGACAGATCTGCAAAAACAATGACACCAAAAGAATCCAAATATTCATGGCTCATAAAGCGTGGTGGAGAAGGAACGGCTCCAGCTCATCGCCTGCCTCTGCTTAGATTCTTTATAGCACAATATGAATCAACATTACCCCTTTTAGAAAACCATCCCAAGTTCTGTTTATTTGGGTACAAATCCACCTAATCCCACTCATACAAGCAAGCACAGAAACTTCAAGGAAGCTGCCAGTCTGGGAGAGGACAGCAGAATACGGCCCCTTCTTGTGAACAGTCCTGGGACTGTTCTGGGGTGCGACACAAAACCCGTTATTAATGACACACGAAAAGCAGAGCTAACATGGCACCTGCTCTGCCAGGGCTGTCCGGCCCCAGCCGGCTCTGTAACGCTTTCACCTGAGCTGTGAGCACAGGGAATGCCCGAAAGTCCCCGCTGCCAGGCCCTGGCATTGAAAAATCATGACCTGTCTCACCCCAACTCACAAAACTTGCCTGAGAAATTGGCAAAAAAGGATCTTTTCCGCTCTAGGACTCCCTGCATCTCCCTGCAAAGGGCAAGGAACAGAGCCTTTTTGCTTCTTTTTACAGAAAAACACTTCTTAGTCATCCATGAGAGCTGCGGACTCGGCAGCAGAATGAGACAGCTCTTCCCTGGCCTTCACCCCTGGGGTCTTGGGGCCAGGCAGCCCGTGGGGCAGAGGCACCACAGGGGCAGCAGCACCTGGCAGCACAGCGTGCCATGCTGGGGGGACACAGCCCCCCTGCCCCACCTCTGCAAGCACTTCACAGCCAAGCAGCTCCCCAGCCCTTTCTGCACCCGTCCCAAACTCGTTCCTCCATCCCAACCCATACACACACACCAGCTGCCTCTCTCCCATCCATGCCCCATTTTTTGGGGGGGAGGGCGCTGCAGAGAGGCCAAAGAGGGCTCCTGACCTCAGTGGGGTGCAGATACCAGTTTGCTCCCCCCTTTCTCATACTGGGTGCGAGTCCTGGATGGATGGGGAGCCCCAAGGGTGGGGGGCCGGCTAGCTACCTAGGGAGAGCCAAATGAGCCAGGATGCTGGTTTTAAGTCCTAGCTATAAAAAAGGAAGCAACTGCGGGGGCAGGCAGGGGGACAGGTACGCCAGCCCGGCCCGAGGACCAGCCAGAGCCGCTGCGGGGCCGAGAAGGGCCCCCCCGCCCCCACGGCTCCCCAAACCACACGACCCCGGCCACAGCAAAAAAAACCCCGCTCTGGGCCGGCGTTTTGGGGACCGACAGCAGCAGACACCCCCCGCGGCATGCGGTCCCCGGGCGCTCCGGCGTCCAGTCCTGCGCACCCGCGGA